CCAAACAAATAACAGCAACTCTTACATCTCAAGTCCCAGTTTATGTACCGTACTCTGATTTTTCAACCAAAACCAATAAAAGGTTAAATTTCATACGATGATGGTTAAATATAGGTATTTAAATCATTTTAACAAATTTTGGTAATTTGCTGTCAATAAATTATTCATTTGAAAGCTTTGTTAAAGACCCTTTCCTGTCTGAAAATTAATTATAGCCAACCTCATTTTCCGGTACCATAATTATGTGTTAACAGCATAAAAGTTTTAAAAAACATATTTTTGAAAAATTCAGTTTCATTATTATTTCATTTAATAAGACGGTAGAGGAATTTTTCTTTGAAGTTTGCTCTTCTGCACGGGACTACAGTGGGCGGAGCTACTTTCCGTTCTGTATTAGTCTTCTATACTGTTTTATGTGTATACATCTAATAAAACTGAAATATTAAGACCCCTGAAATAAATTAGGATCAATCTCCATCTACAGCAAGGTTAGACCGTCCCCCTTATCAGTTAAGACTGACATAAATTCAATTGCGTCTACCCGTTGTCAAAAAACTAATCTGACTGAAACTTACGTTGTCCGTGGAAATATATATACTGCGAATGCATGGTCCCCGTCGAGGCCTCATCTAAGAACTCTAGCGGAAGTTTAGATGCTGCACAGCTAAAAAGTAGGATTTTTTTTTCTTATTTTCTCTAAATAATATTTATTTTATCTTTGCTTAAATTATCAGGCAGAGTGTATTTTGTCTTTACAGTACGTTTTCTTTTGTGTTTCCTTTTCCTCTAATCTTTAATTAAAAGAAATATGAAAGTAATGTTATTTATGTATTGTTTGAGCATTTAAGTGCCTTTTTATTTGTCCTGATAGGGAAAAAACATAAAAATTAAACAAAATAACAAGAAATATTAAGTAGAAATGAAGCGCAAGAAGTGCCAACTTTGAAAGCGTATTGTAAAAATTCTAGACATAGAATCTCAAATCGCCACATACAATTGATAGTTTAATGTCTGATCTTTTATTTAATTGTACTCTGGTGCTTGCACTTTTTGATTAAGGTAGGATTCTTCTCACATTTCTTGTATTTAAAAATTAATGAAATTTTCACAGAATCAAGAGGACAATATCACTAAGTGATGGTCTCAGTGAGATTAAATTTGACCGTTTAAAATTAGAGGCAAGGTCAGGTCAAGGTCATTACCTTTTTCCTGGACATTAAGAATAAAAAATACTGTTTCCAATCATGCAATCCGTACTTGTAATTAAAAAGATTGAATGTTTTTCTTTTTGCATAAAAAGATACTACCATATAGGGCCTATAAGATGATATTACCAAATTGACATGGATAATTTAATTAAAATGGATATTTGCTAATCCGAATTTCCTCTACTTTTCTTTAATTTTTAGGATTTATTAGTTATTTTTATGTGCTTCCTATATTTAACTTTTTACAATTTTCACATATAGTAAAGTTGTCACATAAAGGTACAAAATGACACAAAAACTAAAATTTTTGATCGTTTACTAAGAGAGAAATAACACTTTTTACGGATATGTGGTTCAAATCTGTACTTAGATTTGAAGCATTTAAAAGCCAACATAGTTCTAGTATGTGTGAAAAATCTTATTTATTTGATATATTTTGAAACTTTAGTCCCATTTTATTAATTTAACTTACATTTGAAAATTTCGTCTAATCTTTGATTGCGTAAAAATTATAACTAAATTCAATGTTCTATAATAATTTTGAGAGGCAGAAAAGAAGATATTTTCATACGCCACCGTTCCTCCAAAAATATAGTCCCTGCTAGTTTTCAAACACAGTTTACCATTTCTATTTAAAGTTGTATAATTGTGATGAGGAAAGAAAAATACGGTCTTTTAAATCTCTTACATCTAAATATAGAAGACATATCAACAAATGTACTTTGACTATTCCATTTAGTCAGAAACCAGAGAAGAATCCTACCTTAAAGGTAGGCATCCGGCGTTTGAAAATTACCTGTGCTATCCTCTGAAATCAGAAGATAAACTATCCGACATTGCATTGCGATTTCCATATATGGTAAAAAATTTGGCTGCCATATTGAATCTAGCTATCCTCCAAAAACGGAGGCCGCCCAGACCTGTCTAATGGAGTCGTCAAAATACGTCCAACGTTGTCACTTCCGGCCAAACCGGAAGTAGTCGGAAAACGCGTATTTTTGCCGTTTTTGACAAGTTTTTGGGTAGCATATGTCTCTGGGAGCTAAAAAAATTAATTTTCCGTGCGTTATCGTCACTTCCGGTCAAACCGGAAGTAGCAAAAATGGCTTATTTTTGCATTACTTAACATAGCTTTAGAAGATTCAAAGCATTTTGGGCGTTATTTCTCATTTTTGTGAAAAATGAAAGCTACTTCCGGTCAAACAGGATGGAAGACCTACTCGTTGCTTTGCAACGAGCTTTGCTCTAGTTATAATATATGTTTTTATTAAATTAGGAAAATTGTAATCAAGTTGTTTTGGTACCTGAGAAGGGGAAGGCTAATGAACTGACGAAAGTTGAAGCTACATGGTGTGATTGAAGAGATAACAATATTTGAATAAAAATTAAAAAAAAATGAAAAGTCTGGCAAGCATACATTTGCAGTAAACGGGTGCATAAAACCTATGCTTGTTGTGCGGCTATTCGTGGACTTTGAAAAACTAAATCCTCATTTGTACACATTTATACACGTGCAATGATTATCTTCGAACACGGAAAATTTACACGTAATGTAATTCCCCTGGTATTCTGCAATGGACGGAGTAATACACATCATGTCAAGAGCTATGCACTCTGCTGCAGCTGCTCTGTACCACTGTGATCCATTCATTGAAAATAAAAGCACAGAAAAAATAAATAAAATGAGATTTCGGTTTGTTTCGGTCAGTTTGATCCTGTAGTATAAATCACGGTTACACAGTGAACAAGTCTGTGCTGATCAAAACCGCTGAAGCATATGAAGTCCGTGCTGATCAAAACGATGGAGCAACTTTAGTCCGTGCGTACTTTGATCGGGAAAAATAGGTCACTAATGAGAAATCAAAATGAATTATGTGCAGATATCACATCGGATTCAAGACGGGCATGCTCTCTCTTTAAAATTGTTCAAATTTTTAATGTAAAAATTATAATACCAGAGGCTTTGCACTTGCTAATCTCAGCGAGATGTCGTAGGGACTAAAATATTTGGTCGGACGTCCACTCATTCCCAAATCGCTGAGAATCTCTTCTACGACAGTTTTTCTCCATTTTTAGTGCTTGCGGAACGCGGAAATACGTTATGCTTATGTAAAGGCCGAGGATACCCTGTTCGCATAACGTAATAGTGAATCGACATAATGTAGAAGAGTGCGCACAGTATGGCATGAGCTAATAAAAACTAAGATCTCAATAAAAGTAAACATAACGAAATGCAAGTTGACGAAATATAATTGTAGTATGTGTAAATGTCATAAAGAGTTGACATAATGTAAAGGAAAGTTAACACGATGCAATGATAGTGTGGGTTAATGTCATAAAGAGTTGACATAATGTAATGGAAGGTTGACACAATGCGATAGTAGTTTGGGTTAATGTCATAAAGAGTTGACATAATGTAATGGAAGGTTGACACAATGCGATAGTATAATGTCATAAAGAGTTGACATAATGTAATGGAAGGTTGACACAATGCGATAGTAGTTTGGGTTAATGTCATAAAGAGTTGACATAATGTAATGGAAAGTTGACACAATGCAATAGTAGTGTGGGTTAATGTCATAAAGAGTTGACATAATGTAATGGAAGGTTGACACAATGCAATAGTAGTGTTCTGCTATAAGGCAGTGACGGCGTTCCATAGAACAATTTAGAATACCTTATGAGTTCTTAATTTGCAGGCATGTACCAATAGGAGAAATAGGGAAAGCTGTTACCCTTTTTCCAAACATAACGTTTAACCACAGCACTTGGACTATGGGATCCCCCCCCTTTTTTCCCTTTTTTTAAATTTGGGGTTGAGGTCACCTTTTCCCTATTTTTGTATTTTAATTTGCACTGTATGTTTTCAATGATGTAACTCTTTTATATCTTTAAGCTGTTTTAAATATATCGTTTTCGACTGATACATATATTTATGCATCAGTCGAAAAGATATGAGATATAAAAATAGGGAAAAGGTGACTCAACCCCAGATTTAAAAAGAAAGAAAAATGGCAAGTGCCTGTGATTTTTTTTAAAACTATTGAAAATGATCATTGACCCCCCCCTCCTTCTTTCCCATTTTGATTTTGGTACAGTAAAATCCGATTACTAGTATGGTGTCGTATAAGAAAAAATAAAATTGAGTTATATAAGTTGCAAGTCGACCTCCACCCGACTGGTCAAAGTTTTTTCCAGGGATTTATTTTTATTTGCCGTCTGTTTTTGCCGTGAACATAAAACCTTTAAATAACAGATTATTTTCTTTTAAAATGATTGTAAATGCTGAGTGTAAATGCTTTCTGGAGATCAGTAGATTACATGATTTAAAAAAAAAATCCTTGAAAAGAAAAAAAAAAAAACGATTTCAAGCATTTTTGCAGCTTATAGAAATTTAAATAAAAATACATGTGCATATTTAAAATCCCATTTACATTTCTTGAAAAATACAAACATGTCAAACGAAAGAATCGAATGAAAATAAATGTACCGGTAGATCTTTTTGTTGTGATTTGTGATAGACACCAGAGAGAGAGAGAGAAAGAGAGAGAGAGAAAGAGAGAGAGAGAGAAATAAGTTTTATGAGAATTGACTGAACACCACGAATACCCAGGTTGATGAGATTTAGTGACAGAAGCACGTGTATCTCAAAACTTAGAACTGTAGAACAAAAGATAAATCAACTCTTAATGTCGACTAAGTTCAAAAGAGGTTGACTTTTAACTCCTTTATTATGTTTTAAAGGCATAAATGTCGATAATGAATTATTATTGTTTTGCACGTTCCGTTAAGCTACACTTAAATGACGCAACGAGAGAGCGAGGACCTTCGCCATTGTTTAAAAAATGTCTTCTTTAGCTAGAGAGGTATGTATTAAAAATTTGTTTTGAACGATTTCAATAAGTAAAATATCGAATTGCTAATATTTTAGTGATGATAAATAATGATACACTAGTCCCAAACTATTAAAAAGAACGAATGGTTTTTAAAAATATTTTAATATATTTTTATTTAAAAATTAAATTATATTGTTTTTATGTCTTTTGTTTATCGAGAAATTGATTCAAGGTAATGAAAATATTATTAATGTATTTTATTTTTTCTGACCATTTAAAGTTTTCCTAAATAAATTGAAGAATTGAAAAGACGTTTGGGAGGGTGTATCACTCTGGTAAAAGCATATTAGGAAAATATAAGTATTTATCTTTTTATACTTTGATTTGTTTATATTATTAATCAAGAAATCCGTGGTATCGGAGAAGCCTCCGAGCCGGGCACTAAGCAGTGCTAACAGCACGCTACAACGGTCCCGACAGCGGGCCGACATCGACCCGGAAACGGAAGAAGAGTTACTGTTCCTGTCCCGACCTGTCACTCACGAGGACTCCCTCAGGGCCGACCCCCTTAAAGAGGACCCTGAAAATTTTAGGCTGGAATTAAGTAAGAAACACGGCTTTGAATTGCTTGTTATTTTGATACAATGTTGTTTTGTTTTCCTTTTGTTTGTCCGTAACAAGCATTATCAGTTTGAATAGGGATTCAACCTAAGAAAATTAGTTGGGGAAAGGGAAAAAGATTATACAAATATTTGACAAGCAAAGAAAAATAATCAATGGTTATTACTGTATAGGGACACAACCTTACATGTAAGTTAGCTTCATGTCGTACATGTACATGTACGATATAGTTTATACAATGTACTGGTAAAATTATTGAGAGGGGTATATCCCCCACCCCTCTCATTTCCAAGGGCCCTTCACTGCATGATTATCATACTGTGGTATCAGAAGTTGGAAAAAATCACGGCGTAGTTTTCAGTTTTAAGATTATTAAATTAATTTTGAACTACAGTACTTGCGGGCAAAATTTGACAAAAATAACTTATAAAATTTTATATTTTCGTGAAGGAGAAAACAATTGCTTTCCATTATGAGGAATCTCAATAATATTAGTCCATAAACCCTAAATAACACATACTATGTTTACCGTAAATTGTTTCTGAAAATACATGTAGATGGCCTTGTAAATAAAATACAGTAACTGTTAATATATCAGTTTGTATTCTATTTATAAATGTAGCTTGTTTTGCAAAAAGCCACTAATCAAAATCAATTTTTGTTTTTCACATTTAGAAATTCACTGATTAAAAAAAAAAAGTTGCTGCCAAATGCGTACATGTGAAATACATAAAAGTACATTTTCGGTATATTCAAAAAAATAATTTTAAAAAAATCAAATTATCAATTTTAGCCCCCGTTCGAGCCCTGGAGCCTCACGAGGTCCGACAGGAGATCTACAGACGAGAGTGTCGGAAACTGAATGTGATTCCGCTCAGTAGCTACCTCAGGAACCCCATCAGGAACGTACTGGTGGTACCTCACAGCGGACTGGGACCGAGAGGCGCCATGGCGCTGGCGGCGCCGCTAATGGTAAACGCTTTCTCATGGTCGACGTATACATGTCATGCAGTGAAAATACTGATAACGCGTTTTTAAATGTATCGATGTTTATTTCCGTATTTCAAATGGATTGGTGATAGATGGATTAACATGATAATTTATATGAGAAACATTAGTAGACTGAGACGGTCTCTGTACATGTATATATTTTTTAAATTTGTCTAAATTGACTATTCATGTTCAATATATTTAGTAAACTGGATGTTATTCCATTTTTGTTTTTGCTATTTAGGCCAGCATTTTTTTATTTTTAGGTTTACGAACATCAGAATGAAAAAGTCCTGTAGGAGGAGGAAATAAAAAAAAAATAAAATTATATTTTGGATACATTATCGACTTTTCTACATTAATTTTTGCTTCTTTTTTTATGCTCTCCAGCGGCTTCTTGCCACTGGACACATAAGGGTTACAAAGGGGAAAATACAACCTTTAATTGTTTATTTCATCATCTACCAGTTGGGGGCAGTGACATAAATCTTTTGATGTTGCATGGACAAAATACAGATTTTTTAAAACAAAAAATCAATTTTTTAAATCTCTTTTAATATATCTTCATTTTTGTTTTTAATGTGTGTTAGGTATAAATTAATCTAAAATATTAATTTACTCTAGACCTATAAAAGTAATAATTCCTTTCATAAAACAGACAGGGAGTATTCCCAAGGAGTATTGAGGAGTAGGGAGGATTTTTTTCAATTAAGTGTAAAATAATTTTTCTGGCCGCCATATTTACTATATGCCTGTATATATTTGTATATTCTTGTTTTTAAATAGTTGAAATATTTCTTTAGTCTATTGTTTATTTCTTCCTCAAATTGATTTAACTTCTCCCGTAGTTTTATTCATTACATCTGATGCATAAGCGACCCTTTTCTGAAGAATGATGCTAAGACTGTAAGCTATGACAGAAACATAAACAATGTCTCTGACAATACATACAATGGGCAGTTTTAAACCTGTGGGAGGAAAATAATTTACAATTACAGACACAGTTACTTTTGAATACGGATACATAATTATCTCACCAACATGCCACTTTGCAACAAAGTCGTCAGCATTTTATTGTTCTCTGAACGGGTGAAACGTTTTGAATGGCACTCCTACCGATAAATATTTACATTAAATCAAGCTTTAGTGCTGCTATGGACTTGACACAAATCTCCCTTCATTACCCGCCATGTTCATTTAAAACCGGAAGTACGAGTTCGTAAATTTGAAATCTCGATCCCGACTCAAATTTGACATCGGAAAGAAAAAATTCTGTTTTTCTCAATTTTATTTTTTTTCTGAAAATGCAAAAACTTGAGCGGCGGGTTTGTAAACCTAAAAATAAAAAAATGCTGGCCTTATCTATAAAAAGTCATCTTATGCCTATATGTACTTTCAGCTGGATCACAATATAGTTTATCTGGACATAGCAGGAAACAGTATAGGACCGCTGGGTCTAGAACATATGGTGGAAGCATTTCTAGAGACGTTGTCCATTACACATTTGGTAGGCCATGACTTTAAATGTGTACACTGTATTTCAAATTGAAAATGTCGAATTCATCGGCGTCTCTATTTGATTTTTACTTGCAGAATTTGTCAGATAATGAGCTAGGCAGTGCTGGAGCTAAAACTATTTGCAACACCATTAGTAAACAGTCTATTTTTGAATACTTGGATTTGTCCAGTAGGTTATCTTTAACAAAATCTATTGTTAATGCTGTACATTTTGCTCTCGAGTAATAGGTGGAAAAAATTAAAGATTCTATTTTTTATTTTGTTCTCAGATAATGGGTTTAAAGATGAAGATTCGATTTTATTTGCCGATGCCATTGAGGTAAGATATACATTAACATGTACTGACCAGTTGTCATCAAAAGAATTTTTATATTATTTATTAAACATATTGCGAAAAAGTCTAGTGTATATTAATTATTTTATATAATTGCAGACGTCCAAGAGTTTGCGAGAAGTTATTCTTTCTCACAACCACTTTGCAGAGAAAGCTGGGGTTGAATTCGGAAGAGCGTTAGGTATTTAAACATGTAACATCCAAATGTAGTGTCTGTCCATTTTAAGAGTACCTGAATTTCAGAAAAGACATTCACTTTCATAACTTGTATACTAAGTAATGCTAAATATGAAAACCTACTTTATTTCAAGCAAACAACGACAGACTTGAAGCATTTGACATCCGTTGGAATCACATCAATGGAAGATCTGCTGATGCTTTTGCGAAAGGTGTTAAGGTAGATCAAAATCCATTTTCAGCCTTTTTCATTTATATTTATGAGGAATTATCAATATTTACGAATTTTTTTCTTTACTTTTTATGACACAGAAGAATGTTGGACTGAAGCGGCTTGACATAAGTTTTAACGGGTTCGGACCAAATGGTTGTAAAGCTTTGGCGGCCGCGCTGTTGAAGAACCGGACGTTGCAGGAACTGGACATGTCTCACAACAGGATGGTGGACGAGGACATAGCGGTCCTAGCCGAGAGTCTGATGGCCAACGATACGTTAAAGACTCTTGTGGTCTGTAAATACTGTAAAACTTATCAACTGGCAAATTATGTGGTTCTATACAAGAAGTGGGCATGGATTTTTTAACATACCTAAATTTAAGCGATCATAGGAATGACTAATCTATTTTCTCAAAAAAAAGTTGAAAAATTTTCCTGATCTCTGACACAGGAGTTTCAGATCAGTTTATCTTAAAACGCTTTTCTCAGAAAAATACATGGTACATGTACATGCATAAAGATGCACATCACTACTGCTTTATAACAAAATGCATTGCAGTTCGTTTATGTAAATGCCGAGTGTGCTTGTACCCGTACTGTTCATCCATTATGTTACGAAACTGTAAATACTAAATAAGACTTCATTGATTTCTTGATAATTTCTTTTTCGTGACAGGTTGGAGATAATCTTTTGACGCACGCGTCTTCACTTCATATTCTGAAAAGCATAGAAGATCCCAAATCAGTCACTGTTCTTGAAAAAGTGGACCTCAAGGTACAATGGAACTAGAGGAAAAATATTTCCAATTCCCTGTATCAAACTTTTAAAATTTATACTGTACTTAATATCCTACCCCTTTCTAAAATATTTTTGGTACTTATTTTATAAACAGAACGTGTGTGTGGATCAGGAATTTGTACATCTGCTCAACGAAGTAAAGGAAATAAAATCCATAGAAATAAAACATGGCAGGATCATGCAGGTTGGGAAACCAAGGAGACGGAGAAGGCGAAGAAAACCGAAGCCCAAACCCGAGGTTCAAACAGAGAAAACCGACCTTTCTACTAAAGAGTCATTAGAACATAACAAAGCTCAAGAGAATGTGCCAAATGAGCAGGTGAATAAACTGATTTCAGACATTAAAATGAGCGAAAAAGACAGTGTTCTTCATGTAAAGGAGGAAAGAAAAGTGGATCAAATACCTCCCCTTGCACCACCCCCGAGCGGGATAGTCAGGGAGTCCATGATTCTGGGACCGGAGATAGTCAATGAGAAAATCGGTGAAAATTCTAAATAAACATTTTTGTCAATCCTTTCTTGTTTGTTGATTTTGTCAGAAACTTTGTGGACTTAGGAAATGATGCAAAGATAGATAAATATACTCTGTGAAGAAAACGCTGACTTCTTTAAAGCTTCAAGTCTATTACATTGGTTCTTCAACAGATGGTGCCTTTTCAAGTATTATTGTTTTTTTCGGAAACGATGTTGTAAACAAAGATTTATTTATTTAAAAAAAAATCACATGTATCAAAATATATATTATGAACATGCACAGGTTATCTTTTTATTAGATCTCGTGTAAATGCTACGTTCAATGTACATGCAAAACAGATCTATTAAAATAAAAATAATGTACGTCTTCATATGATTTCGATAAATTTCATCAAAGTGTTCTCGAAAACTATGAATCAAATAACGTTGAATTTCTTAAATTACCAGCACTAATAATTTCTCTACACCTGTATTCATGAAAAGCATTTCTTGTGCGCCACATTAGGTAGTGTTGTGAAGTTTAGTCATAAAACGTCATGTGATGGCTCTGAAAGCTTGACTAAATATTCCAACACGTATTATCATCATGTCGTTTTGCATGTGTCGAATTACTGAACAAAAAATCTTGTTTAATGTTATTAATTGAATACATCAAGTAATATATTCATGTAAATAGATGAAAACAAATTTGTCACATGTATATACATTGCTAAATATGATACAGAGTCAAATTAAGCTACCGAATCCAGTTTTCCTAAACGTAAAATAGTATAAGTTTGTACGCTTTAACACATAAATCTTATACAAATGTGCTAAACGTTTACGTTATACAACAACTAACACAAAGCCAAGATGTAAAATAAACATCTGAAAGACTATATTGGTCTTCTTTTCTATTTCCGCCAAGTCAAGATATTTCTTAATTAAGTCAGAACCTTCTTTCTTTTATTAACATAGGCTTAAATGAGCATGACCAATTGAGTATGTTAAACCAAATTAAGTGCTAACTTAACGTTGTTGTACTGTACGTCTTTCGTAAGATCGTTAAGATTACTGTGGTTGTCGTCCTTCGATTTGTGGAAAGACAGTGATGGCGGTACCGCCTCTTCCGGTTTTTGCTGAGTCTCCCCATACACGTCCTGCTTGTTCCTGCTCAGTTGGACGTCTTCTTCCTCGTTGTAGTTCGGCATTGGAAGTCGGGCTCGAAAAGGAAATGGAATGTCCTCTTGCTGACTTTCCTCGGCAGAATTGTTTTGGTCCACAGTGGGTTCCGAGTTTTCGGATTCCGATTCCGATTCTGATGACGAAGATGATCTAATGGAGTCTTTGTTCCCGTTTTCAATTTTTCTGATCAGCCAGTACATGCTGTTTTTACCCTGAAATAAAGTTTTGCATATAGATGACTGTGACGTAAGTGTATTGAATCATAAGATTTATATGATGTATGGTTGCTCATGGTTGTTGCATCAATTTTTACAAAAGAACCATATCGAAATAAATGAGTGTTTTCTCTTGGATCTTACCTGTTTGTTTCTCTTTTTGAGAATGTAGTTTCCAGTCCTCTCTAGCGCTGTATAGGTGCCATGGCTAATATTTATTCTGTTTGCTGGAAAATAATTCCAAAGTTAAGCGTTTAAATTCTACAAAATGCGCAAACACAAATCGAAAAATGTACTCAACTCTCAAAACGTATACTCACCCGTGCTGTAGAACATCATTCTTGCTGCGTTGTTAACCGTTTCCCCAACCACACAATAACGCGGCATTACGGTATTGACAATACCTGCCACGCAAGGTCCTATAACAAAATCTTACTGTCAACGAATGTTCAGACACAAATACGCGACAAATGAGATACGTCATACACGTACAATGTTAATTCTTTTAACATACCTGAGTTTATTCCAATCCTGACTTGAACGATGCGATCTTCGTTTACGATGAACTGTCGTTTACTGATCAAGTCAATCAACTGGAGAGCGAAATTTGCAACTTCTGTCACGTGATATTTATTTCTGTCAGGTAGCCCTGAAAAAGAGGAACAAGCATAAAATGAGTGAAGCCTTTTCCTATTAATATATATTCCTTTTAAATCACAATAAGAATAGAATGGTAAGAAAGTTTGAATACAAACCTGATAAGGCCATGTAACAGTCATTTAGGGTTTCTAACTTGTACATGTTATAGGACTCCGAGAGTTTATCAATGGCCTCATATAGAGTGTTCAGCAAATCGACAATCTGTAAGGCCGAACACTCCAAAGACATCTTATAGAAGCCACACACATCAGACGCCATCACTGTGACCACTTTGAAGTATTCGGGTTTGATGTTCTTGCTATGTTTCACTTGGTCGGCAATAGGTTTTGGTATCATCTGGTACAACAGGGAGTCGGTTCTCGCCTTTTCTCTTGCCAACTCTTTCGTCTTATCAATCAAGGTTAGAGCGTATTTATGGAAAACGGATGTGACGTATTCCGTCATGTAGATGACAAACGGGCACATGAGGATGACTACCACGAGGAGAGTGGCGCTGACGGCTAAGTCCGTCTGGACTTTTTCAATTACGGTATCCAGAATCGCCAGAATTTCCTCTCCCAGATCTTGTTGAACATCAAGTAAAGTATCGAGGTACATTGTCATATTGTCAAACCACCATCGAGCCTTCTGCATTTCCGGTAACGTATTATTGCCGTCCTTCACGTTGTGTAAAATTTCTGATCGAAAAGAATCTATAATGTCTGTTAGGTTATTTCCGGCCTCGCTTACGACATAGGAGTACAATAATCGAACACGATCGGAATACAACTGAGCTGTTTTGTAATACGCCCTGAAGTTGTGTACCCTGCTGTAATACATCTGGTAGTAAAAATGGTTCTCAAATCCTCCATTGGCATAGAACATTGTCCCTAGCGCCCTTTCCACCCCTACATCTTCCTTTGCACTCGTCAACTTCTGGTATGCCACAAGCGTTTTCCATACGACGGCAAATTTCGATTCGTTGATCGAGTCGTACAACCAAACGATAACAACTTTAATGATGCGAGTGTAAAAGTCAATTTCATCTTGAATGTATACCTCGGAAGGAGTAAGAGATTGTCGTCTGCGGTTAAGATGTTGTACCAAATTGGCGCGTGTCGAAAATTCTGTCCTGTCGAGTTTATCCAAGTTTCCAGGCCAAACTGGAAGTCTTGTTATTGCCTTGTCAGTTGCAATGTATTCTGCCAGAAGAAACGTTTTCGTCTCTGGACGGAGGGCGCTGAGGTATAAAACACTCATATCCCGCTCCTTCTGCAAGTGGTGGACCAACTTCCCCAGTTCGACACTGTACACTAAAGCCTTCCTGGTCTTTAAAACAAAACAAAAAAATGAAATTTCTACACAACTTCATTCTAGCAAACAAAAAGCAACAACAATATAATTAATTTTAATTACTAGTCTTAAATGCCAATTGAATTACTTATAAATTTCATAATAGTGAACAAAAATCTGATAAACTTACCGCCTCGTTTTCGCTTTTCAGTGATATTGTGTCCGATAGCATGTACACACTGTAGGACCAAACGCCTAATACCGGTAAAACGGTCAGACATAACATTTTAATCAGCTGGATCTTCTTGTCCGAATCCGTCAAGGGCGGGGCGTTACAGCAGATACCTTTAGTTAAAATGGAAGTAAATTATCTATTTTGATATGTTTATCTTTTTAATTTAAATTTTCACCTAAAAATTGAAGATTTAGATTTTCTTACCTCGACTAAATGCTGTGTGTTTGCTGGGGTTATCTATTTCTGGCAAGAACACCATCTTCCCCGCATCGTCATCAACGTAAATATTTCTAGCCTTCGGCGTCGCCATGATCGCCTTAGGCGAAACTTTAGATTTATCGCTACTCATCTACAATAAAAAGACTCTACAACTTTAATTATTATGGACTGGAATTCCAAAAAAGAAAAAAACTGAATGAAAAAAAACCTTTTCATTCTAGAATTAACAAAAGATTTTTATCTAATTTAAATCATCTTCAATTTGTATTTTCTAATGGTTACTGAACTATAACTGAAATGTGTTTACTGAATGGTGACTGAAAGGTATCTGAACTGTGGCTGCAAGGTAACAGTAATGTCACTGAAATGTACCTGTCATTCAGTGGCTGAATGGTCACTGAAAAGTAACTGACAGCCGTGCCTCTCAGTTTTAGCTGATGTCAATTATTCTTTTTCTTAGAATAAATTTATACATGTTAGTGTATACAATGTAGTTGTAAGAACAACTATATTTTTGTGTTAACATCAATGCAGAATGCAGTAAAATGCAAATTAAACACATTGTAGTTTGTTAAACATTTACGTACAGTTACATGTACTCGTATGATATTTAAACATAAAAACAAGGCACTTGTAAGAATTTAATAATTAATTATTGAAGACTACGATCATATTTTATTGCACAATTAGTGCACAATTTATATACAGTGCATTTAAACTGAATAAAATATATCAATAATCAAAAGTGTTTTTCAAATTCATCTAAAATAATGATAATAATAAAAAATAAATGTACATGTAAAATGCTTTTTGGTTTTAAATTCATGTATATTGCTCCATATCTCTGCTTCAAATCAAGCAATGAACTGAAAATTAATTTCTAGATTTCATAGAAAAAAATTAATATTTAATCCTTCGACAAAAATACAAGATAACACAATATAAAGTTTAATTTTTCTTTCTGTTTCTTAACTGTTTAATGTTTACTAACAAAAAAGCAAATAAATTGTAAAAAGGTTATCATTTCTAATCTTTCATATAATTTCCTTAATTAGAATCTATACCGTAAAAATTTATCTATGTATTTTAATTTGTAAAGAAAAATATCAATGTTTAATAAACTTTGTTATAAATTTTAATTAAACAAAAACGAAATGATAAAGAAAACACATTGTTTAAATGAAAGTAAACTCATTGTTTGTGAGTCCATACAGCATGGTTTGTTGTTTTAAAAACCCCCGAAAAGATCTTAGATTTTAACTAAGTATTTAAATTATACTTACATAATCCAGAACGTTAAAATCCAGCTTATTTTAACTTTTCCAAGATGGCTGTACATCACAATTTCGGAGAGAGTAAGCTTTGTTTTTCTCCGTTACTATGACAATAAGCAGTTTCGCAACAGTTGCCAAAAATGAGGCGCTAAGTGACTGTGGACCATTAGAACTGCATCGTTCCAGATTAGGTCGATTTATGTGAATTGCTCCGACAACGTTTAGAAATAATTGATAGTATTTCTCATCTCACTTAGCACGATTCCGATTGCAGATCATAGATATGGAGTTTTTAATTAAATTCTAAATAATGAATTTTCAAAATTAAACTTTTTACATGTACTTAAATTATAAATAATGAATTAATTATTTGGTCTACATCAGTTTGATAGCAATAGAATGTAAAGTAATACTGAAAAAAAACTTTGATAAAATGTTGGTCCCAGTCAAAGAAAGCATACCAAAGAAGCACATCTTTAAAGAAAATGGTCGACATGTGTAAAACCCCTCCTTTCGTTTGTGTACTGCAACATGTCGGAGAGAAAATTACTCAAAAGCATTCAAAAATTTGATCGAAACAACACTTTCCAATCCTAAACCAGAACCATTAATAAGATTAATATATGTCTATGTCTGTTTTGATACAACAATTTTTGGAAACATCTTTTTATAAAAGTTCACCTTGATTTTTTGCTCTTTGTACTCCTTTTGCTACCGATAGGAACTACAGTCAGGTTAGTTTTTCGAACGCTTGTGCTCATTAACCAATATCAACCAAGTTAATAATTGTTTCCAGTGTATAAATACTTGCCTACTCTTGCGAATCATAATTATACCACCGTAAAATTGTTTAAAAGTGATTTACGCATCCTTGAAGGATGTGCACAGATAGCTTCATGTACATTTGTTTGATGCCTCATAGTGGTAGTGAATTTTGGGTGGGTAATCAAAACGTTTTGCTGATTTTCCTTAATACTTTGCAAATTGTAAAGTATGTATTTGAAAATGTGTATTACTATTTGAAAAAATTAAATTCTCTCTACAGGTGTACTGTAACAATAGCCTGTTCTAGGCCCTTGAAGGATTAGAAGCATTTAAGAATGAAAAAATGCACAACTTACATACTGAGACCAAATGATGATACATGGAATTTCTCAATATTTCATGAAAATTTTGTAAATCAGCTAAAGCCATGTGGTTAAAGGGTGAAAAAAATACAAATGTAATGGTTTCTTTCCCCCTGGGTCCCGAAAGGTAGGACAAATTAAACCCATCAAAAATTTTTAATCTTCAAAAAAGATTCTTTACTCTTGGACTTCAAACAATATAAGAGTTGGTATGTTGTAATAAACATTGAACCCTCTACCAAAAATGTACAAATTGCCTGAAATTGTTACAGGGATACTTGAGCTATTTGATCATATGTCTATTTCTTAAAAAATCTTATTCTTTGCTCCTGTGTGTTTAAGCAACAAACAGATTTTCCTTGTAATAATTAGGAGAATGCTTCCTTCAAAACTTAAAATTTATGGCCTCTGGATCAGGGTTTATTGTGTGTGTGGGTAGGTCTCCGTTGAGCATATTATGTATAACGTGCATATATTTTATTGAATTTCCTCTCTGCTCCTTGGTATTGTACATTGCTATGAAAAGCAAGGACGTTACTTCCTAAATTCTGAAATCCATAGCCACTGGAACGGCAGTTTGAATGATTAAGAAGAAGACTAATGATAACTTGTATAAATACGAATCAAGAAAGTAGTGTAACGAAGACATCGTCCACAAACTTTTTCGAACAACCCTCCGAAACAATGCATTAATATTTTCTGTTTTCCTGGGCATCTAGAATTCAAATAGTACAAGGTTGTAATAGGCAAAAACAACAACTGCGATCGATAGTATTGTTCTCCCGCCTAACTCAAAGTCAATTTTCAAAAGTTAACATTTTATAATGATTTTTATTATCTTTATAGATATTTGTATGGATTTTCATAAAACATTACTTATTTGGGAATCAAAGAGAGATAACTCTTTGTTACGAGGCAAGGGTTCTGCAATAGTCTGCTTGGAATACTTCGTACTATAGTTCATTCCCATTGGAAATAGCAGTAGAACGAATTATTAAAGCAGACTATTGCAGAACTCTTCAGCATAGGAGGTTTAAATGAATGGGATATTTCTATGAAAAATCAACAACATTATATTTTGTTTGATTTAAACCTTTAAAGGTAAGAAAGAAAAGTTTTATAGTGATAGAGACTGAAAGGGATGTCCAAAGAAAAAAGTTGAAGCGGACAGCTAATTCATTTCAATCCATATTGATTGAAACGAGCGGTCCAAGTCGGGGCAAAAATCCCTAATAAAGTTGTATTGGATTGCTCTGAGATGTCGTAGGGACACCAGATCAAACTTTTAGTCCCGACGACATCTCGCTGAGATCACCATAAGACCAGTAGAGATATATAGTAATATACTCCCTAACACCCAATTTCCTCATCAGAATCTTGTTTATCATGACCATGTATTTAGATTGTCTTCTTATTAGTACCAAAGGTCGAAAGCATAGACAAGGATTTTAAAAGAAATATTTTTAAATATTTCCATTGCTAATTTTTATTATGCGCCCGTATCGATAGATCCGAGGCGTATATTGTTTTTGTCCTGTCTGTCTCTTTGTCTGTTTATCTGTTTGTTTGTCTGTTTGTCTGCAAACTTTAACCTTCGTCATAACTTTTGAATCATGAAAGATAGAGACTAAAATATTTAGTATGCATACTCCACTAATTAAACTCTTTCAAATACTACCAAGTTCAATGACCTAGTGACCTTGACTGTGACCTATATGCAAAAAAAAAACGTCTTTGTCTGCAAACTTTAACCTTCGCCATAACTTTTGAACCTTGAAAGATAGAGACTTTATATTTGGTATGCATACTCCACTAATTAAAATCTTACAAATGACACAAAGGTCAATGACCTTTTGACCTTGGCTGTGACCTATATGTTAAAAATAGCTTTTTTGAACATTTACCATAACTTTTGAACCATGAGAGATAGATTCTTCATATTTGGTATGCATATTCCACTTATAAAATTCTTTCAAATTACATAAAGGTCAATGATCTTGTGCCCTTGCCTGTGACCTATATGCTAAAATAGTTTTTTTTTTCAAAATGTCAGATCCTACTGCGACACAAAACTTCTTGCCGCCGGGCGCATTGTGTTTCACAAACACATCTTGTTTTCTCTATGATAACTCTTTGAAGGTTAGCGGAGTTGGTTTCTTGATAATTCTTGATAATTCTACCAGAATGTAAATTAGGCAGGTCGATAGGTCAGGAGCTAAGGAGGCCTAATACGCATGCAAATCTCGTTCACATCTGTCACTGTGCCTGACGCTAAGGAGGCCAGCTATGCATGTAAATCTGCATTTGTGTTTGACGTCAGTGGGCGAGGAATATTTTCATTGGCATGGGAGTCCTCGTGTAATTTAAATCTATGTCTATATTTTTAAAGTCTAAATCTACAATTTTATTTCACAATGAAATGGAAATATAAGGAATCACTGTCTTAGTTAGTATAATATGCCAGGGACATCAACAATAGTGGGAAACATGGGATAATTTATGCATAACGGGCTTCGCCTGTTATGAAAATTATCCGATGTTTCCCACTATTGTTGATGCCCTGGCATACTATACTAATTAGACAGTGATTCCTTAAATATATATCTGTGTGTTCTATAGATCCCCACCCTAACTCCTAGGGTAAATGAATTCTATATCAT